TGTGAAAGGGTGTCTTTATTCTGCTGTGTGCAAACCTGGGCTCTGAGGAGCTTAGCAAAAGCAGCCTGAACTTGGACCTGTCTCACAAGGCTGTGACCTCAGAGGTTAATTACTTTTAAACTCACTCCAGTCTTGGATTTACTGACAGCTAAAGAGTTTGGTCTTGGTAATTTAATATTGCTCTGCTTGTCTGCTAAGGAATGTGTGAACTCTGCCTCTCTCCCTGTATAAACTTGTTTGTTTTTTTTAAAAAAGGATCGTTCTTAAAAGCTATATCAGGATATTCTTGCTAGCTAATAGCTGTAGAGCATTTTGCTGGTGAAACTGTATGTAATGCTGCTGCTTTTGAGAAGCCAAAACACTTTGGCAATGGAGTTATTTAGGAAATGTGTAAGATTTGAAAGGCATCTCGCAAATGCTGAGATGGGAGTTGCCGAGCTGACCTAGTACCGCAATGTAATGCGCAGAGTTGTGACTCAAGTTCTTCCTTATACAGTCAAATTTGGTGTTGTCTGGCTGAATCCTCACAAACTACATGCTGCCTATGGTATGGTTCCCATAGTATGGTGCTGTCTTGTGTTTGTAGCCACGTATTTGTGACTTAAGGCTTTACTCCTAGGGCTACTACACAGTTTCCCACAAGAATTGTGGTCACCTTGGTTTACATGTTATGCAAATGCAATAAAATCTTTTCACATCTCCGATCAAGGGAAACTGCAGTTGGAAACTTTCTGAATTTAACTGGCAATCTGTCTCCACAGTTCTTTCTGACAGAAGCAGCCAACCTCAAATAACTGCGAATGATCAAGCAGTTTGTGTTGAGCAATCCTGCACATACAGAGGCATCGTGCTTGAAACAACAGCAAGCTCCAATTGCTATTTAAGGGAGTTTGATAATGTAATCATTGATGGCACAAAAAGATGCTAAATAGAGGTGAAGCTATTAGATTTGGAGAGGGGCTTCCCAGTTCATCTGCCAGGTGAGCTGCTGTGGAAGCAGTGGGCCCATCACAAGGTGGGGAAGCTCTTACAGCCTTAAGAGTCTTATATAGCTTTTCTGCACTGCACTGGGGCCTTAAGAACACTGGCTTCTGCAAGATCCCAAGCTCTGGCCCATTAAAGCTGAAGTAGCTTTAAATTCTGTGCCTTTGGCTAAAGTGCATGAGCTTGTCTGCCTGTGGCTAAAGTGTATGAACTTGATGCTGTCAGACTTGAACTGGCTGGGTTATTCTGTGAGTTCCTTCAATGTGCAGTCTGCTGTCAGTTTTACTGACTAACTTCCATTCAAAAGTGTGCAGAAATACTGAATGCAACAGTTGTTGCGCACTTAAACAGCCCCAGTTTAACACCAGAATATTGAAACAATACTCCTCTAAATCAAAATATTATTCTTGCCTACTATCTGTTTGAACAATGAGTCCAGTGAACTTTCTAGCACAGCGATATATGCAAGTCACTGTAAAAAAACACCAAACTATTCTGGCAACTGGATTTTTTTGGAAGCTGCATGGTATCTCCTGTTGTGGTAGACAATACCTTGTGTGTAGCTTGAAAGGTGGTTGTGGTTTAATTTGAGAATTGTCTTCAAGATGGGTGCTCCTAGATGGTCTAGAATGCAGTGTTGGATGTGGACACCTAAATTGCAGAGCTCTGAGCTGAGTTTAACATGTTTCACTAATCTGCTGGTCAGGTGACTGTTGGAGAGTTTGCACCTTATCAGTTACCCACATGTCTTGCACTTGGGCCACAGCCCTTCCAG